GAGACGACGAAGAAGAAGTGCTGCTGCAGAGTTAGTGCATCAGAGAAAACAAAGAAGAGCTGCTGTGCTGTAGTGTCAAATTTTTGGCATGTCTAGACTCTAGAACAATTCTTACAAATATAACATGACGTAGCTGGGCGTCGCGGACAGACGCCGAACGGCGCCGCCGGTGTGCCTACACTCATAGAAAATAATGTATTTGGATTTTAAAGACGTGGCGCGACGCTGCGCTTCTCGTCCGGTGCGCGACCGCCTGAAACGCTGTTTTTTTCACCTCCGTGCCCAAACGTCTTTGTTTGGGCTTCCGAAAGCGGATGATGTCAGGAAACAGTGGTTGCAATTTACTTTTTAACTCTGTTCCTGAGCATTATAACCCCAATTTGCTATTGTGTGCTGCGCATTTTACTGAGGACAGCTTCCACATCACGAGTGAGAAGTGCCGGATTTGCCAAAAGCTTTTGTTGAAAGACGGAGCAAGGGGCGTGGCAGTACTAAAACACCGTCTAAGCTGTTCACCAATCACAACGCACTGGGACAGCTAACCAATCACAACACATTTTGTTTTTCGGAAGGCGGACCTTCATCAAAGCCGGAACTAATCGAGCCGTTTGTGCCAGGATGTGGAGAAAGGTATTTTAATAATGTAAATTATGTGAAAAATAATGCGTTTTTCGAACCACCAAGCATGAGAGCATGTTCTAGTACACCCCCAAAACAAAATCAAGACTTTGTAAAAGAGCATAATAGGACCCCTTTAACTTTAGACCACCAAAAGAATAGATACAGATTTCAGGGAAAAAATGAAAGATAAACATGAAGTGAAGCAAAGCAAAGGTACACTGTGTTCTTTGCCTGTTTTCCCTGTAGGCAAATTGTGCCCTTCAAAGCCGAAGGTAAAGAATTCAGGGCTGCGTTTCTCAAAATCATTGTGAGATAAGTTGTTTGTATAGAGACCATCGGTGGCAATGGATCTACGATCTATTTAGGCTTAATGCTTTTGGGAAATGCAGCCCAGGTCTGTAAATGAGAAATCTATGTGCATCTCCAAGCTTTCCTTTTATTTATGTGTAGAAATAATACATTTAAAAGAATAGTTCACTCAAAAATTTGCTGAAAATGTACTCACCCTCAGACCATCTAAGTAGGTGTAGGTGAGTTTGTTTATTCATCAGAAATGAAAGTGTCAACAAAGGTTCTACCAGGAAGACTCTAATGCCACGTCATTAATGCATAACTATTAGCTCTGGCCAATCACAGCTTGACACTTCGAGAATATAAGTAGGCTACTGAACTTTCTCTTTTTTTTTTTTTTTACAGTTGCACTTTTGCAATTCCATTTGGTGCCACTGGAGGGACAGTAATTACACACTGTGCCTCAGTTTAAGTAAAAAAAAAAAAAAAATTAAAAGATAATTTTTAAGAATTATATAATTAATATATAGGATAGTTAGACTAGATAATAAGACTAGGATCTTTTCATTCAGATATGTATCTCGACATTCTCATTTGTTTAATGATTGGTGATTTGAGATTAATGTTGTTGTTTTTTTTTATTGTTATTTTGTTTTACCCTGTTCAGATCAGGATAAAGTGGCACGATAAAGTTTCTTCTAAATACAGGACACAACCATTTTTAAAAGCTTTTGGATCACGTGTTTTGAAGATATTGTGAATCCTTAGTGGACCGAATCTGGCCCCTGTGGTTCCTCCCGCTCACCACCAGAGGGCTCCCTCACATGAGTTTTGACTATGTGTTCACAGACTCCATTTCCCATAACCCTGTACCTGGTAGTGATCCCTTCCATACCTGGGCCACAATTCACAAAACCTTTTATCTTAACACTAAGAGTTCTCCTAAATAGCAGTAAAAGTTTTTAGCTAAGAGTTTTCTCTTAAAACCTATTCACAAAGCTGATGAGACAAACTTTTACTAAGGAATAGAGAGAAGTCTTAAAGCAGCACTGTGTAACTTTTTCTGTGTTCAAAATGTGCTAAATGTATATAATGAGCGAGTACATCATGAATTCATCTTCCAATGTTAATAAGATTTTGGTAGGCTACTATTAGATGAATAGCCTAAATGTCCTAATTCATGTTTTTTTTTTAATGGTATATCAAAAAGTGTATATTTTTTTAAATTTGATTGTTGGTACATTTTATCAGTTTTTACCATACTTTCAAAACAAAAATTAAAATATGTGATAAAATGTGTTTTACTGAGAAAAAGCAAGATTTGGTTTTAAAAAAGCCTTTTTCCAAAAGGTACATCTGGAAAAAGGGGGGTCGTCTTATAATCAGGGTCGTCTTATATTCGGGCCAATACGGTACTTATATTTGGACTATTGTAGGGTGACCATACGTGCCATTTTCCCCCGACGCGTCCTTGCCAGGATTTGTTTTGGCTTTGTTTTTTCCTGTTTTCATGCTTGCTGAAGGTAATGATCGAAAAGTAGTTTGACCAATAACATGCAGGCATTGTACATAATGGACCAATCATAGTGTCTGTGAGAAGGTGGGATCTACGGTCTAAGCGATGCAATTGCGCGTACATAGGATGTGTGTTCGACTTAAAAGCAGCGCGGCTCAGATCGATCAGTGTTTGACATCAAAGTACCTCGAGAGCATTTTGAAAGCATAAGGAACCGTCTGTATGGTATTTTGATGTCATACACCGATCGGTCTGCACACGCAAACAAAGCCAAAACCTAGATATTTTAGACAATATAGAAATCCTGGCCAGGACGTGTCCGGGGAAAATGGCACGTATGGTCAACCTAAACTTAGAGAAGTAGCTCCGGTTGGAATGTTCTTCCGCGGGATGTGTGCAGTTCTGTTTATTAACCGCTAGAGGGCCAAAAGTTACATAGTGCTGCTTTAAGCTAAGAGTAAGGGCGGGGTTGACCTCGTTGCTATGGTGTGAATGAAATTAAATTATATTCCAGTTTTAAATGTGCTTCTGATTACAGATCGCCTGGGATTACACAAGATTTGTATTTTAAAGACCACCATTTAGAAGGGAGCATCATTTGCTTTTTGGGTTAAAAGAATTTCTTAATATGAAATTCAAGTGGTATGACAATTAGAGATTAGACTGTACAGAAATTGAAATCTACTCGCTTATACACATTATACTCATAGTCACGCAATGCTGATGTTGTTAACATTAACAATTTGACAATAAAGTATAACAATAATAATAATTTGCACGGTTTGATGTGATGAGCTAATTTAGATTAAATCACCGTTGGTAGCGCGATTTATTGTAATGCTTTTTTCCTCAGTTGGTCAGAACAAATGTGGCAGACTTGTTACTTGTTCAGATGACAATAT